GAAAGGCGAAGACAACTCCACCGGCTAACCTCACTGTGAATCACCCACCACCGACCACAACAACGAGAGAAAACATAAAATTGAAACCTACCTTACTCTTCTCTCCACAGCTCGCCTCTCCAGCTCTCCTCTCTAGTCTTAGCCGTCCGATTTCTCCCTTTTCTCCAGCTCTCCTCATTTCTCCTGTCCCACCGCAGGGCCGGCACTGCATAGAGGCGAATGAGGCCATTGCCTCAGGCCCAAAATTGGAGGAGGCCTCATTTCGCCGGCCATTTGTTTTGTTAGGCCCAGCCCAAACAAGAAACGGGCACGGGCGTGGAAAAAATGGTTTTTGTATTGAATTGCTCAGTGCGTAATTTGCTTCCACCGCCGGTTCTCTCTCCTCTGCAATTCAATCGTCTCTATCGCTTCCACTCGGCCTCGTACTCCTGTCTTTCGTGAGTTCATCCACTATTTCAACTTATAAGCTCTCTCTATATCTGTACATACATTTTTATGGGTATGCGTATTCGGTATTTGTATGTATGACGCAACTTCGTTTTTCAGTAGGTTTTGATTGTGGGTTTTGAATAATTTTGGTTGGGAANNNGGTTTTGAATAATTTTGGTTGGGAATTGTGAGAATTTGACGAAGGTCACTGTTTTTGTAGAATTGTAGCATACAATTTGGTGGATGTTGTTCTTGTTCTTCATCTGCTTGCCTTTCTGTGTTGTTAGATTAAATCTTGAGGCTTATAGATGTAAGGTGTTTATTAGATAAACTTGTTTATTTCCACCCTTATTTCTGTCATTCTGTGCATAATTTACCGATGAAAACTTCACAAGAAATTGCTGAAATTTTGGCCTGCGGTGAATTGCCCTGTTATATTAGGAACTGCCTTGTTATATTCAAATTATGAGGCTCTAAATGTGTTTGCATTTCATTTAGCATTTTGATTCAGCTGTTGAAGCCTATTCAACAGAGTATCATTTAATCTTATATGCCCAAGTGATTTTCGTTCAGTGGTACTTGTAATTTGACGACACTATAATGGACCGTTTACTCAAATTAAAATGGCCATACTATCAGTTTACCAGCTTGGGTTAGTAGACATTGGATGAATCGAAATGCGAATATTTTACTTATTTGAGAATATTCATTTTCATCATTTTCTTACAACTTATTCATAATATGAGATTGATGAATTTCTTTTGAGGATGTATAATACCTAGCGTTTCAAGTACCGGATGTTTGTTTATTTAAGTTCAATAGCACTTCTATTTATGCTAATATGCAACAAAAAAGTGACGCTGGACTTTGATAATTGTCTTTGGATGTCCAATAGCTTGCCAGATAAAAACTTACCTTGAAATGATTAGAAATAAGTGCCGAAACTAGGTAGTTTTGGTTAACATGACCATGGACTTTATAATATAAATCTTTTGTTCTTTTATTTGTTTGGTTCTACTGTTCAATGTTAAGTTAACAATACATTGCATTTACGTTGTTTAGGGGGGCCCAACTTTGGGAGTTTGCCTCAGGCCCCGAAAATCACGGGACCGGCCCGCCGCCCCTGCACTTCCTCGTTCGGCATTCCGTTTTCGAGCACCGAGGCCGAGCTCCGCCCCTTCGAAGCTGCCATTCCCGTTGTCGTCCGCCGTCGCACTGCTCCTGTCACTGGCGAGGTAAGTTCCCATTTTTTCTTAATTCTATTTTTCTTCCGTTTACCCGATTGATTTATAATTTATTGGTTGTTTCTAGCTTTATTTAGGGATTCTGATTAAGTTATTGGTGATTTGTGAATCATTATATGCTGTGATTGTGATTTAAGATTTGTGAATCTATAT